GAAGGCTATGCTCTGGGTTTCTCTGCGTGATAAACTCAGAAATAAGGATATCCGCAGTCGAACCAGAGTAACCGACATAGCCGATTGTAAGCTGAAGTGGCAATGGGCCGGCCATATAGCTCGAAGAATCGATAACCGATGGGGAAAAAGGGTTCTCGAGTGCCAGTCTCGTACTCGTAGAGCAACCCCCCAATAGATGGAGTGACGCCCTGGTAAGACATGTAGGAAGTGGATGGATGCAGGTGGCTCAGGACCGTGCTTTGTGGCATTACTTGGGGGAGGCCTATGTTCAGCAGTGGACTTGTGAAAGGCTGTAATGATGATGTTGATAATGAGGGAATTGATCTTACTCCTCAGAGTTATTACAATAAAAAAAAGTTACTAGGGGGTATGATTACATTTGGGTCCAGGAGTCCAGGTTCTTGGACAGGAACCGTGCTGTTACCTATTTCCACCGAAAAATAGCAGTGCTTGTATTGCTGTGTTTCATTCTGAAGTTTATAGAGAGCCACTATAATTACAGGCTGTGAGGGAATCCATTTTAGTCCTCAGAGGTGACGAAGTATCCTCTGTAGCCTTCTTTGATTGAAGTTGGCTGCAGGTATCCTTGCACTGCAATAACCACATACCAGCATGTGAAGTACGTGGTGGTAAGTGGTAACAAATGACAACATTTCAGTTTTATAAAAAATGGTGACAACGCATCTGTGACCACATCAAATGTAAAAGCCAGGTAGAATTCTGAAGAAGACACTGCGTATGGCATCGATGGCCAGCTGTTCCACACCCGAGGTAGATCTCAGGGAGTAGATCTCAGCTGCATACACGTGGTAGAGCTACGATGCATATACGCGGTAGAATCAGGTGTATACACGCGGTAAAGAAACGCGGCATACACGGGGTAGAGCTACGCTGCGTACATGCGGCAGAGAAACGCTGCATATAAGGGGTAGAGCTCGGATACACGTGGTTCCGGCATACACGTGGTAGAGCTACGCTGCATACACGTGGTGGAGAAACGCTGCATACAAGGGGTCGAGTCACCCTGCTTACACGTGGTAGAGCTACGCTGTATACACGGGGTGAGCGCCAGAGAAACGCTGCATACAAGGGGTAGAGTCACCCTGCTTACACGTAGTAGAGCTACACTGCATACACGTGGTAGAGAAACGCTGCATACAAGGGGTAGAGTCACCCTGCTTACACGTGGTAGAGCTACGCTGCATACACGTGGTAGAGAAACGCTGCATACAAGGGTTACACCCTCTTACACGGGTAAACTACCATACACGGGTAGAGCTAGCTGCATACATGCGCCAGAGAAACGTTGCATATAAGGGGTAGAGTCACCCTGCTTACACGTGGTAGAGCTACGCTGCATACACGTGGTAGAGAAACGCTGCATACAAGGGGTAGAGTCACCCTGCTTACACGTGGTAGAGCTACGCTGCATACACGGGGTAGAGCTACGCTGCATACATGCGCCAGAGAAACGTTGCATATAAGGGGTAGAGTCACCCTGCTTACACGTGGTAGAGCTACGCTGCATACACGTGGTAGAGAAACGCTGCATACAAGGGGTAGAGTCACCCTGCTTACACGTGGTAGAGCTACGCTGCATACACGTGGTAGAGCTACGCTGCATACATGCGGCAGAGAAACGCTGCATACAAGGGGTAGAGTCGCCCTGCTTACACGTGGTAGAGCTACGCTGCATACACGTGGTAGAGAAACACTGCATACAAGGGGTAGAGTCACCCTGCTTACACGTGGTAGAGCTACGCTGCATACACGTGGTAGAGCTACGCTGCATACACATGGTAGAGAAACGCTGCATACAAGGGGTAGAGTCACCCTGCTTACACGTGGTAGAGCTACGCTGCATACACTGGGTAGAGCTACGATGCATACATGCGGCAGAGGAACGCTGCATACAAGGGGTAGAGTCACCCTGCTTACACGTAGTAGAGCTACGCTGCATACACGTGGTAGAGCTACGTTGCATACACGTGGTAGAGAAACGCTGCATACAAGGGGTAGAGACACCCTGCTTACACGTGGTGGAGCTACGCTGCATACACGTGGTAGAGCTACGCTGCATACATGTGGCAGAGAAACGCTGCATACAAGGGGTAGAGACACCCTGCTTACACGTGGTGGAGCTACGCTGCATACACGGGGTAGAGCTACGCTGCATACATGCGGCAGAGAAACGCTGCATACAAGGGGTAGAGTCACCCTGCTTACACGTAGTAGAGCTACGCTGCAAACATGCGGCAGAGAAACGCTGCATACACACGGTAGAGTCATACTGCATAGACATGGTAGAGGCATACTGTGTATAAGTGAATACGTCATTGATATTGTGTAGCTTTTGAGACGCATTACTTTAACCTTCTAACCCATATTAAAAAATTACACGAAGGTTTTTAGAGTACAGGTTGTAAAGTACCTACATATAATGTATTGATATTGCAGAAACTGTGGGTTTTTTTTACTGAAAAATTAATTTAAAATCTTTGAAAAACGTATAAGTCCATTCATAAACATAAAAAGTCAAATCACAGTGTCTCAATTCAAAGTGGTTTTATCAACAAAATGTCAATTTTATCTAAAAAGGCATATTAGTTAATTTAATTTAATTTACAGTGATTTATGTTCTATAATTAAAATAACTATCTAAATACATCTTGTTATGTTATAAAAAATAATGAGCAGAAAATTCACATGCTCATTATGAACATACGAGTACTTAAATGTCAAGGTTTTATAATTTTCTAGATGACTGAGACTGACCTCATGGACATGATGAGAAATTTATATTTCCATCATCGTAATAAGTACATTTTTGTCTTAAAATGATTGATGATTATAATATGTATAAAATATAGTTTATTAATGTATATGGCCCGGTAGTGCAGTGTCTAAGCGTTAGCTGGCGCGCTCGGGGTCGCAGGTTTAATTCTTGCATGGAAAAAGATTGCTATTTATTCATTCGTTTATTACATCCACAGAAATGGTAATAATAATACTATATTACGATTTCTGTAATTATATCCTATCGAAATTCCAGTATTGAATATATGTAGGCCGCTTATAGTCGCAGGCGGCACCGCAGTATTTTATTATTTAGAGTTGTCATCAGGAAAATGGTGCTGTTGCGGCCCATATTTAGTTTCAGTTTCTCTCTGTCGCCTCCTACATCACCCACGGGATCATATAAGGTACTCTTACTTACGGCGCCGATGCGGTGAAGATTAATATGTTCACAAATATTTTAGGTCTACCATGATATGGCCATTTTTACTTATTGATAATTCCTCTCCACTTTTATAATTAAGTTATTAAATTTGTTCCAGTAGAAAGAAATTTTACTTGGTTTTGAAATAAGGTTAGTTAAGTGTGAGTATAAACATTGCCCTAAGGCGAGGCCTCGTGAGTTCTTGCTTATGCTGTTAATGTAATCTTATTTAGATACTTTAGCTCTTATTTAGATCTTATTTTGATAATTGAGTAGGAATGTTAAAAACGGTTTTTTTAATCATTAAGAAGCGGATTACTTTTTGTGTGCGTATGTTTGAAACCTTTTTTATAGAATGGGGTGAAAAAGGAACACACAGTTCAGGTTAGTGGTTGCTGAGGCTCGTAGACATCTACATCTATCTTCGATTAACGATCAAAACGCAGATTCGTTGTTACATATGAGGACTAAAACAGAATGTCTCTTTTCCAGTAATAAATGTCTCACTTTCACCATACAATTCGAAGCAGCATTAAAGCTGCTATTTTACGCTGATATTCTATGTGAGCTTGTGCTTCCCTGATCGAATCAAACTTTCCTTGCTGCAACCACAATATAGCAGTAGCATGGTTCTGCCACGCACAAAAACTTAAATTTGCCTTTTGTTTCTTAAGTCATGGGACTTCTTTTCTACCTAAGAGACCGACCAGGTAAGTACTTAGTTATTTCAGCTAAGTTGTAGGGGTTGCACCGCTTCTGGTCTGATAGATATACAGTGCCAGTACAATAATAGATCTTGAGGCATGATCCTCGGAGTCACTATCTATCTACAGTACCTACGTGCCATCAGTGAACTCTAAGATCGTTTATCACTTCAATTTTATATAAAAATCGTTTTAAAATAAGCCAATTAACAACACATTTTTTTTAAAAAGCCGAAGACCTCAGTGAAATGTTTCAACAGAGCTTGTGGCGTAGTGGTTCATTCGGTATACATTTTGAGCGTTTGCCGCTGAGATACACAGCAACAGCAGCTGAATACAAACGTGTTTATGATGCCACTCGCAGGGCCAGATTAATCTAAAGGTAAAGTAGGCAACTGCCTATGGGAAAAGAGAGGCCCCTAGGTAATATGTTTACTGTACTCTACACGTTTACATCCAGCTCGGATCACCTAAAATATCAGTCTCCGCTGATCGCTCCTGATTGAAGAATTATCCTCAGTTTGAGAGTGATAAAGCGAGCTAACACTCCACTGATGTGAAACAAACGCCTACCATGGCCTACTGACACCTAAAACTGATCTCAAGCAATGAAGACTGCAGATTATTTCCCACGCCGAAGGACCAAGTCCTTTGATGTTCTTTTAGTAAGGTTATATAACAGTGTATTCAAAAGGCGTTTAAGTAATTATTTACTAACGAAAGTACTGAACTATGAGTAACTAAAACATTACATTATTACGCCTTTGTATGAATAAGTAAACTTTGTTTAAAAAGTAAACTTTTATGACGGATGCCGATTTGTTTACTTCTCACTAACACTTTTCGATGTAGTTGTTTCGTTTAATACATACTAATTTGTTTGTTTTATTTCAACACTGCTACTGTTACTACGTAACATTATAATAGTTTGCATTACATTAAAAATTGCATTAACTGGACTAGGGCAGTGCAATAATTGCATCTAGTTTAACCGGGTCCGATCGATGTGAGGGTATTTACCTCGCCGGGCAAAAATAATCTGGGTGCCGGTGATGTCAGAAGACGTTTTTACAGCGCATGCGTGACGAACCTGAAACTAAGAACGCGTGGATGCGCCTCCGAAGCCTTATTTGCACCCGTGACGAAGCGGCGAGCTTTCGTGCGATGTTTACGCACACTCGTGAGTAGCCGGGCGGGTGAGTGCAATGTGTGAGTGCGTGTACCGATGAGGGAAATATCAGAGATCCACAGCGCGTGGCCGGTGGCGCGGTGGAGGCATGTCCTGTTGTTTGTAGGTCTGTGGCGGCGAGGCGGCAAGGCGGCGAGTAACTGGGCGTCAGTCGGTCGCCGGCCCGCGTTGAGCCGGGCACGCGTGTGCGAGTAATGGCGCCCCGCGGCGGCCGGTGAGGCGCCGGCCCCGCCGACCGCCCCGGGTCGACGGGCCAGCTTGGCCAGACGGACGCTCGACCCACCATGTCCTTGCTCAGCGTCACAGGTACCATGTGTTGAGTGTTATTCATTTCGCGCCAGTTTCGGCGGTAGAGTCGCCCCGCTTTGTGTTAAGATGCCTTGAAAGATACGCATTATCTTACGGTCGTTACGGACGCCTACTGAAAGTGCATATTTTAAGAGGTTTTTGAAATGTTAGGGTTGCGTCGTTTTGTCTGCAAATTATTATAAGATATTTTCGAAAAATCTTCTCTCAAATGTTACATAAATTAGGGTTAGCTATTCTTGTAATAACGAATATAGGAATAAATAGAATGCTTCCTAGCTGTTTGCGTCAATAAGCGATAACAAGCAATCGAGGTTAGGTTACTGAAATTGATAACACACTTGTATAATAATAAAGTTTTACCGTGAAAATATTTCAGTTCGTTTAAGGAACCCTAGAAATGTGCGTAATTTATAATATTTATGCACTCTATTACTTAGATTCCTGTTAAAATTCAAAATGTAGTAAATTTTTTCTAAGCATTGCTTTTATCACACTTAACATTACGAAAGTTGTAAAGCTATACTGTGTAGAGAAGTAGGTCGGCAATTTTGCATTCTTTCAGACGGTCCCTTTAACAGTAGGTCGATGGTACTTTGTGAATATCAAACAGTACCGTTTTATCCTCTTTTAGGTGGAAATATAAAATAAACCTTATTGTTTTATTATAAGACTTAACATTCGTAATTTCACTGAAATTTTAAACTTGCAAATAAAAACATAGTTACCGTAGAAAAGAATTGTAATGAAATAGAAGAAACTAAAAATAGGATCACGATGAAATATTATCCTAATAATAACCTGATGAAATATACGAGGAGTCAATAGATGCAGGTGGCTCAAGTTACTCAAGTTACATCGATGGGGTGTAATGATAAATAACAATGAACGATGAAAATGAAAAAATTTAATTGTGTGGTATAGGTATAATTAATATTAATTTATTTTGTGTTGAAATTTTTACCCAAGGTTTTACTTTTTATTATTACAGCTGAGCTTATAGAATGTTATGATACTTAATATCAATTGTATGTAGAGGTTATGATGATTATTATGTTTAGGACAATGAATAATCTGGATATTTCGTGATTTTTACAATGCTAGTATCTTAACCTCTTGGCTGAAGCTGCATTTAACTAGTCGGACTTAAAAGATGCAGTGACGACCTGGTAAGAGACATGCAGGAAGTTGATGGATGCAGGTGTGATAAGGACATAATTAATATATAGGGGATAATGAATATTCTGGATATTTAAAAGAATTTGCACAAGATGCACCTGATGGTATAATATGGATACTGCTGCCCACGGAAACCTACCTCTCCAAATAAAAACGAGTGAATCATAGTGTACATAATCTAAGCTGCGTTTTATAGTATTTAGTCAAATCTTAATATATAGGGGATAATGAATATTCTGGATATTTAAAACAATTTGCACAAGATGCAACTGATGGTATAATATGGATACTGCAGCCCACGGAAACCTACCTCTCCAAATAAAAACGAGTGAATCATAGTGTACATAATCTAAGCTGCGTTTTATAGTATTTAGTCAAATCTTAATATATAGGGGATAATGAATATTCTGGATATTTAAAACAATTTGCACAAGATGCACCTGATGGTATAATATGGATACTGCAGCCCACGGAAACCTACCTCTCCAAATAAAAACGAGTGAATCATAGTGTACATAATCTAAGCTGCGTTTTATAGTATTTAGTCAAATCTTAATATATAGGGGATAATGAATATTCTGGATATTTAAAACAATTTGCACAAGATGCAACTGATGGTATAATATGGATACTGCAGCCCACGGAAACCTACCTCTCCAAATAAAAACGAGTGAATCATAGTGTACATAATCTAAGCTGCGTTTTATAGTATTTAGTCAAATCTTAATATATAGGGGATAATGAATATTCTGGATATTTAAAACAATTTGCACAAGATGCAACTGATGGTATAATATGGATACTGCTGCCCACGGAAACCTACCTCTCCAAATAAAAACGAGTGAATCATAGTGTACATAATCTAAGCTGCGTTTTATAGTATTTAGTCAAATCTTAATTGACTTTTTGCGTGCACTTAGTTTTAGTATTAAACTAAGTAAACCTAAAGTTATAGAAAATTAAACCGTAAAATTTTGATTTGAGAGTCTTGATTATTTGTAAACTATATTTCAAATGTTATTTATAAGCTATACTAAAAAGCTTTTTATTTATAAAATAAGGTTGACAAACGAGCATACTCGTACAGTCCACCTGATGGAAAGTGGATGCTATGAAAAATTATACATCTAAATTTAACCTCGATTACTTATTATTATTATTGAAAAAATAGGGGCAAACGAGCATGCGGCTCACCTGACGAAGTTATATAATTTTTGGTATTCCTGTGGAAATTAGCAAAAGAATGAATGAACAGCTTTAAAATAAATCGTAAATGATAGATGTTTACACTATTGCAATCGTCATTATGATTTACAGCGATCCGCTTAAATTGCACTCAAATGTTTTACGACCAAGTTATACGCGGTAAGTTCTAAGAAACCATAGCTTGTTTATAGGTTACTCATATATTTTTTATTCAAGTAAGGGTACGTAGTACTATTATTTATTCTGTGGTAAGGGTGACAAAAATACAATAAATGCATCAATGATCTTCGAAACACATATACTTATATGCTCTCGATAGAGAGTAATAGTTTTCTGTACTTATATTTAAATGACAATCAAGTGTCATATAACATCATATAATATAATACACTCAGAGTATGTATGTAATTACTCTAAGATAATACACTAATATATAATATCTTATTTCATTTTAACCTTAGAATGTCACATGCTGAAGTATTTATTGTTTTGTGTACATTTTTCATTTATATCGCTTCTTGACCTTTTGACTAAGATCAAGATGCAGTATATATTTTTCATTTGGTTTGTTCATGATACATTTGACACTGAGGTTTGATACACAATTTTTATCTAGACGTAAAGGCGCCATCGGCGCCATTCTATTATAGAACCGGTTATGTGTCGTGGGTGTTATTGCACAATGATTTCAAAGACATATGTTATAGTAATTGTAAAATCTTTCCTAACATACCCATTTCTTTATAAAACAGAAGTGACAAATGAGCTTATATTCCACCTGATGGTAAGTGGCAAATGCAGTTGATGGCCATCAGAAGCCAACTTCTCTTCTGTGAGGACTAAGATGGAATGCCTCACAGCCTGTAAATACATTGCTTCTTTTTACCATTCAGATCGGAACACAGTAGTGCAAGCACAGCTTTTGACGGTAGAAATAAGTAAGAGGCTGATACTGCTAGATGGAAAAATAGTCATAACATTATTTTTTTTACTTAATAGGAAACATGTTCAAATAACGTTGGAAGAGATTCTCTTGCATTGCTCAGCAGTCAGCACTTAAAATTGAGTTACTCCGGCAAATATATTTTTTATAATAATATTTTTTATAACAATTTTTTATAATTTTATAAGAAAACTTTTTTTATAATAAAACTATAATAATATTAATAGTATAGTACTATATAAATTAATGTTTTATAGCATTGTTTTACCAATTCAGGTACATATTTATTGCAACTAATAAAACTTGATTATTTTATTATATATATATTATTATATATTGATAATATATATATCTTTTAGTATGTGTTATATATAGTACAACAATAAACATTAGTTTAAATACCTCACTACGCAGAAACTGAAAAAAATTACCTATAGTCGATACAAGAAGGTTCTTATGATCTATAATAAAGGTCTTCAATGAAAATTGTTGCTGGGAGATAAGTCCATGATTCTTATTAGACGAGCTTTCTTTTTATTTATAACCTACGTCAAATATTTATACATTAATGTGATCCTTATATTTACCACGTGCTCGGCGGTGAACGAAAACATCGTGTGGAAACCTGCATGTTTGAGACATAAAAAAATTCGAAGACATGTTAAGTTCTCCAACACGCATTGGGGAAAAGCGGCGGGTATTTCCTTGCCCTAAAACCCTCTAAGAAATGAGAGGAGGCCTGTGCCCAGCAGTGAAACGTATATAGGCTGTAACTTTAACTTTAACTTCAATGTGATCCTACGATACGAAGTCCATTATAACAGACTTAATGATGCGTAATTTCAACAAGTTAAGGCATATTTCCATAGATCCAGCGTCTTGGTCTGCTCGTAACAATCCACTGCTGGACATTGAGTTCTTCCAATGTAGGAAATCTTTGCATTTCAATATCCAATAGGATCTTAATAAATTCAAGCTTAAAAATGCCTTAGTATTTACAGAATTAAAGATTATTGATTACGTAGCAACGTCTGATCGTAACAGTTGTCAAATTCAAAATCTATAATTGAGATCGAGATTGATCATTTATAAATCCAATTTCGCCATTTAGAGGTCTTAAAACAAAGGTCCAAATTACGTCATAGTGTGCTTAATGTAGTGCGGCCAATATCACTGTTGATATAAAAAAAAACATATTGCCTTCTTTCTTGTCAAGTTGTCGAAAGTTGACGTCTCGATTTTGTTTTTCAAATTCAATAGAAAATTCTGACTTTGCGCTTGTGTTATAAGTACCTGCATGACCAAGCTATGCTCGGTATTTTTTTTTGGAAATCGTGTTTTTGTAAATTATATTTAGATACAAATTACATACTGATGAAATATGAATAAAATTTTTCGATTTTCTCGATCATTATTTTTCGTGTTAAAAAAATATACTAAAAAAAGGGCTCCAAATAATATGTTTTCTCACAAAAGAAGGAACTTGAAAAAAAGGAAAAAAGAGTCAGACCGGAGACATTTGGACTCGAACCGGCGTTCTATGATTACAGCATCGCCTGTTTTTCCATTTAAGATGTTATGACCTTTTAGGCACCGGCAAAATTTATTTTCGTATTCTAATAATATTGAAGCAGTTTCATTGCCTAAAAACT